CATAATGACGCACTGAAAAAAATTGTTAAAGCTTATTACGAGACACTTAACAAGGTGGAGGTGGTTTCTAAGAAAAGCGAACCTCCCAAAGATATCAGAGAACATGCAACATATGCTGAATGAGAAAATAACAATGATGAAAATTACAGAGGCAATAAAAAGACAAAAAAAAAGATAAAACTCCGGGACCTGATGGTCTCCCAGTGGAATTCTATGTAGCCTTACAAGACATAATAAGCCCGATATTGAAAGATCTTTGTAATGAAACATTTTCGGTGATGAAAATACCAAATTCTTGGACAGAAGCTAACAGGATTATTTTAAATGTGCTGGAATATTATGAAAAGCATCGGGGGAAACAAATGGCACTTATATTTTTGGACGCACAAAAAGCTTTTGATAATCTTAATTGGCAATTTATGTTTCAACAGTTGCGAGTGATGGACTTCAGTGAAAATTTTATACATGCAATTCAAGCAATTTACAATAAACAATCAGCAAAGATACTTCTAAACGGAGACTATACAGATAACTTCGATATTAAAAAAGGCACAAGACAGGGATGTCCATTGCCCCCCTTGCTATTTATTCTTACATTGGAAGTGCTGGCCAGGAATATTAGACAAGATCTGGAGATTAAAGGGCTGGAGATAAAAGATCAGAAATATAAATTACAGGCCTTTGCAGATGACTTGGTCCTTATTTTGGAGGAGCCTTTGGAAACAGCCACTAAACTGTTGCAGAAAATAGAGGAATTTGGAGAAGTGGCCGGGCTGAAAATAAATAGAGAAAAGATTAAAGTACTTACAAGAAATCTAACAGAAAAACAGAAAGTTTAACTTTTTTAAAAAACAAATCTTCAGATAGCTAAAAAAAAGTTAAATATTTAGGTATTTACTTAACATCAAAATATACAATAGTAAAAGAAGACAATTATGATAGACTATTGAAACAAATAAAAATAGATTTGGAAAAGTGGAAAAATTTCCAATTATCACTGTTAGGAAGGATAGCGACTGTTAAGATGAATATTTTACCTAAACTACTATTTTTATTTCAGACGGTTCCTGTCAAATTAAGCCAGAAATTTTTTGTTGATTTAAATGCAACAATAACGAGATTTATATGGCAAGGGAAAAAAGCAAGAATTAAAATTAAACTGTGACAAGAATCAAAAGATGGAGGGGGCTTTGGGCTCCCAGACTGGAGACTTTACTATCAAGCTGCTATTTTGCTTTGGCTTAAAAAATGGATTACACTGAGAAACAAACGACTTCTTTATCTAGAGGGACATGATTTGCAACTGGGTTGGCATGCTTTCTTATGGTACGAGAAAAATAAAGTACATAAATACTTTCAAACTCATGCTATAAGGAATGTATTACTCTCAGAGTGGGAGAGAATTAAAAATAAAATTTATATGAAAATACCTGAGTGGCTTTCAACAATGGAAGCATTTGCGTATCCGAACTTAATTAACTATGATAAACTTGTGGCATATAAAGACATTTTAGATAAAGAAGAAAAACTTAAAGATAGGCAAGAGCTTCAACAACATGGTATCGATTTAACATGGTGGTCATATCTGCAAATTCAAACAAGATATGAAAAAGATGCATTAATGGGATTCTACAAAGAACAGACACCATTAGATAAAATACTTTTGAAAACAGATGAAAATTTAATTAAGAAACTTTATAAATTTTTGTTAAATTGGAAGATGGAAGAAGAACAAGTGAAAGAAACAATGATAGTGTGGGCAAAGAACTTTGGTCACTCTATAGACTTAGAAGAATGGCAAAAACTATGGGACCGAAATATTAAATTTATTAAAGCAGCTGCATATAAGGAAAACTTATATAAAATGTTTTATAAATGGCATATGACACCAGTTAGATTAGAGAAAATGTTTAAAAATGTTTCAAATATGTGTTGGAAATGTAAACAACAACAGGCACTTATTACCACCTCTGGTGGATTTGCCCTAACGCTAAGAAATTTTGGTTTAAGATTCATATGTGGCTAGAAAAGATGATTAAAATACAAATAGAATTTAAACTGGAACTGTGTTTGTTAGGAATATTAGGTTTGAATTATGGAAAAGAGAATGAATACCTAATATTACATGTGTTAACAGCTGCGAGAATAGTATTTTCTCAATTCTGGAAAAATGAAAATTTACCATCTGACCAGATTATAATAACAAAAATACTTGAATGTGCAGAAATGGATAGATTAACTTTAGAAATGAAAGAGAAAGAAGATATAATTTACTTTAAAACATGGGACAAATTTTACCAATGGTTAGCAATACGATAGAATGAGAAAAGGTTATGAAATTTAAAGGGATAATTGATAATTTGTACTTATATTTCATGTTTATTTTGATGATCTTTTTTTTCTTTTTCCTATTTGTGATTTTAACAATAAGTAAATTATAGCTAATAAGTAATATATCAATATTTTAAAGTTATTACAACTAATTAGTAATATATTAGTAATATTATATTAAGCATTATTATTTAGTAAAATGAATGAGATATATTGACCAACTTGTTATTTACATGATTATAGATAAAATTAATTATTGTAAACTGTTTAATATTAGACTAATGATTAAGATGTAATATGTACACCCGGACGGGTCTACTTGCTGAAGCGATGTTATTTTGTGGGAATAATCCCACTATTGTGTTAACCCTTTTCCTTTGGTCTAACCCTTTTGTATGTTTCCCTTTGTTATACCTTTGTTGACCTTATTCCCCTTTTACCTTTATAAAACTTAATAAAATATTTGTAAAAGAAAAAGAAAAAAAGGCCACCTGAAGAGACTAGAAGCATTTGAAATGTGGATTTACAGGCGGCTGTTACATATAAGCTGGGTTGACAAGATCAGAAATGAGGAGATGATAAGCCGCCTGGGAAAGCCAAGGGAAATCATCAAAACAATTAAAAAACGAAAATTAGAATATTTCGGACATGTGATGCAACATCCAGAAAAATACGGCATACTCCATTTAATCCTCCAGGAAAAGATTGAAGGCAAATGAGGTCCAGGCAGAAGAAAAAGATCATGGCTTCAAAATCTAAGGGACTAGTTTGGATAAAACTCAGCAGCACTTTTTCGTGAGGCTGTTGATAAAAACAGGATCGCCAACATGATCGCCAACGTCCGATAATGGATATGGCACAAGAAGAAGAAGATATATAATTTACTTGGACTTCAGTAAGGCATTTGATAAAGTAGATCACAACCTAGTCAGCTTACAAATTTGAGCTCCCCTTCCCTTGACCATCTTCAATCCACTGCTGAACATTGAGAAAGACTCCTGATCATTGAGAAAGATTCCTTAAATAAGATCCATAAAGGGTGCTATAAGAGCTAACCAGTGCTATAATCTTCCTTGAAAAATTGCTCTTCTGCATTATTGTGAAGTTTTAAAAAGCCTACATGGAAGCAGGTTTAAAGAAGAGCTGCTACAGAGTAGGGGAGAACTAATTCCATTATAGCTACTGTTAAAAGCCCTAAAAAAAGTCAAAATCAAGCTTTTAAAATGATCTCCATTATTATCACTGGACACTGTCATAAAGCCTAATTGCTTTCTCTGTGTGTGTACCTGCATACCATGCCCATGTGCTTGCAAACACTTGTGTGTAGAGAAAGTATAACAGGAGTGACATATCATCTTCCCCCAAAGACAATCCTTCTCTCTTCTCATTTTACATATATTGGCTATTATTAATGACGCATTTCTAAGTACAGTTCAAAATGCTGAGAAATGTTACTTTTAAAAATCTAAATGGATTAAAAATAAAATCTTCTCATATGGCCCTTTTTACCTTATGTGACTAAGTGAAGATGCCCTTCTGCTTTTCTCATGGAATACATTTATTATTTATATATCACACTATTTATACATTACATTTAGTAAGATCAAGGAACCGGATGTTCTCTGCAGCAGAAAGCAAGAAATGTAACTTTTTTCCAGAATCATTCTTTTATTCATTAATATGCATCTTCAGTTAAAGTGACCTTTTCCAAGGAACTCAAAGAAACATTCCTGCTTTTTCCTAAAACAACTAGTAGTAGCCTCAGAATGCCATAAAGTTGGTTAGATTACAAGTAGGCTGGAATCACCCTGAACTCCTTTGAGTAGTATTGGGAATTGAGTGTTTCAGTCAAATCAAATAATGTCTATTCCCTTTACTAAGAGTTTATATTGCTGTTCGGTTCAGACTTCAAAAGACACCATTACTTTATTGTGCAAACTCAGCTGTCATTTGCAAATCATGGGTGTTAGCTAAATGTTAGGTGTAAATGTAGTTTACTGGCTTATTTAAGTGTCTTGGATTGTGAGTGTCCAACTGACCTTGAGGATTAAAGGGTGAGAAGGCAGAGTAGAATTTGCAACATCAGTACTTAGCATACACCCTTTTTAGGCTTAAGGATTATCCTGTTCAGTATTTATCCTCATCTCCAAGGCAAAGAGTACGGGATAACTGCAAGTACTGAGTGCTTTAACCATAAATAAACAATACCTCTTTTTAATTTAAATTACTTAATTTGCATTTAGATTTGTGAGGTTAATGAATGCTGAGGGAACTGTCACTCAACTTCATCCTATGCAAATACAGGCTGGCTGGGAAAACGCCACTCCGATAACTTTCCCTCCTCCCTCCCCCACAAGTAATCGGAACAGGAGACCAGTCTTAACCTTACGCGGACTTAAAACGCCGGGGGGCTCAGAGGGACTGGATGCGTTGGCATCACCCTGAAGCAGCGCGGAGCCGCAGCCTAAGTTGAAGGAACGGCGGGCTGGCGATCGCTTGCACCCTCTTGCCGGCAACTGGGGGCGTGTTTCTACGTCGGGAAGGGCGGCCGCTGCAGCAGTGGCCACCACCCCTGTTTCCCCTCCGCCTTTCTCAAGTTTGAGCTTGTTTTTGAACCGGGTGACAGTGGCGGGGAGGACAGCTCCCTCCGGCGTGGTTCCGAGGGAGCCATGAAGAGCCGGCGACGATGGAGGTGGCGATGGCAGCTCCATCGGCGATTTGCGCTGGGTTTAGCTGTCTACACGCTGCTGCTCCTGCTGCTCGTGTCTTACACGCTGGACTATCGAGCCAGAAGGGGGCGCGCGGGCGAGGAGTCGCAGTTGCCCCACCGCTGCCCCAGCCTGGAGGAGGCGCTCGGCGACTGGGGCTGGGAAGAGCCGCAGCCACCACCGCTACCACCACCAGCGGCAGGAGAGGCTGAGGACGGGACCCGGAGGGCGCCCAGTCTGCGGAGCAGAGTGGGCGGGAAGCGGCACATCTACTTGCACGCCACCTGGCGCACCGGCTCGTCTTTCCTGGGAGAACTGTTCAATCAGCACCCGGATGTTTTCTACCTGTACGAGCCCATGTGGCACTTGTGGCAAGCGCTCTATCCTAGCGACGCGCTGAGCCTGCAGGGCGCCCTCCGGGACATGATGCGCTCTCTCTTCCGCTGCGACTTCTCGGTCTTACGCCTCTATGCCACACCGCCGGCCGGCCGCGACCCGCTCATCCCCTTGCCCGCCTCCTTCGGGGCCAAGTCGGGCAGCGGGAGCGGCAACCTAAGTACGGCTAGCATTTTCGGGTGGCGGACCAACAAAGTGATCTGCTCCGCGCCTTTTTGTGCCCGCGCCGCCCGGGCCCGCGCCGACGTGGGCCTTGTCGACAGCGCCGCCTGCGAGCGGAGCTGCCATCCGCGGCCGCTGCGGGAGTTGGAAGCCGAGTGCCGAAAATACCCGGTGATGGTGATTAAGGACGTGAGGCTGCTGGAGTTGGGGGCGCTGCTGCCACTGCTGCGAGACCCGGACCTCAACCTGCACGTCATCCAGCTTTTCCGCGATCCCCGCGCCGTCCATAATTCTCGACTCAAGGCCAAACAGGCGCTGCTCCGGGAGAGCATTCAGGTGCTGCGGAGCAAGTATCACGCCGAGTTCCGAGGACTGCCCCGCCGGCAACTCCCGCCCGCTGCCGCCGCCATCGCCGGCGGTGGAGCCGTCCGAACACAGCCGCAGCATCGAGCCGAATTCTTTCTGGGCGGCGCCCTCGAGGTGATCTGCCAGGCCTGGCTGCGTGACTTGATCTTTTCCAGCCGGGCCCCCGCCTGGCTGCGCCGCCGGTACACGCAAGTGCGCTACGAGGACCTGGTGCTGGAGCCGCGCGCCCAGTTGCGCCGCTTGCTGAGATTCGCGGCCCTTCCCGCGCCGCCGGCCCTCGAGGCCTTCGTCTTCAACATGACCCGCGGGGTCGCCTACTCCTCGGAGCGGCCCTTCCTCATCTCCGCCCGTGATGCTCGGGAAGCCATCCACGCCTGGCGGGAGCGGCTCAGCCGGGAGCAGGTGCGCCAAGTAGAGAGTACCTGCGGAGAGGCCATGAGGCTCCTCTCCTACCCTCTGAGCAGCGAAAAGAGCGTTCGACGTGACTCCCCTAGGGGACGCTCCAGCGCTTCTCCTCATCCAGGTAGCCGCAAAGTCGCTCCTGGCACAATCTATTTAACGAAGTATATTCCGCCTTAGGCTGTCATAACATCTTTTGCTCCCAGGGGGCACCTCCGCATCTAGAAATCCCGACACAAATTGGGCAGTTTTTTTCCTTTGATTCTATGAGTCACTAAAGTGAAGAGGAAGTTGTCCATCCCCCTCTGACATTTATTCTGCCTCAATCTTCCCCATCTTGGTGCTATTGAGGCAAGTCTTCTCAACCAAGCTAATATGGTGCAACATCTGCCCAGAGAAGGCTGCCTTACATGTTATTTTATTTATCAGCTTGGAGAAAGAATCATAGCCTATGATAAAAAAATATATATGAGTGTGGATGGGTAGAATTACCAGTTTGATTTTTTTATAGGATTCCTAGTTATTTAAAATGAGTGGCACTGTAGAGACTTAAGATGTATGAAATGCATGCTACTAGCTGTTTCCTTTCTTGCTTTTGGCAAATAGATTGACGTCTGAGTACCAACTCCTGTAATATCTGTATTTGAATGAGGACTTTAGTCTCTTGAACATGAATCAAGCTGCAAAGCAAGTCATTAAAGCTGAGTCTTAATCCTTATAAATGGTTCTTCGTAATGATCAGATTGGTTTTTTTTAAATCCATATTGATAGTCAAACAAAACATTTTGAAGATCTTCGGCCTAATATAGAATGAAAGACTACTTTTTTTTAAAATTTGAAAGATACAAATGGCCATTATAAAAGCATTCCTTTCTTTTCCTATATAGGAGAATGTATAGTAATTCTGTTTTGAATTTTTTATCTCTCAATGTGTTTTCTACCTCAAGTATCTTTTTCTACTTTAGGTTTCTGTAATGATTACTATGTTTGAAAGTTTCCAGTTAAAAGATTTTTAAAAGGAGAAACTGGTTTATAAAGTAGCAATTATACAGGACATAATAAAGAGCTTTTGGGTAAAGTAATTACTGAAGGGGGATTATTGCAGTCAGTTGAAAGGACCCTATTTACATACTTGAAACAAGAAATGCATTGTAAATCATTCAAGTGATAATTTTGGTCTGCAGAGAAAGAAAAAGCTTGCAAAAGTATTATAATGCCACTATGTCTCAGCCAGCAACATTCTTGCCTTGAAACTGGGTAAGTTTTAAAAGTACAGAAAATAGAGTACTTTATATGTAACTTCTGCACTGGCATAAAACCTGAGAAACTCAAATTATCTGATCATTCATTTCTAATAAGTAAATGGTTTTAGTTTTCCCACATAAAGGCATTATGCCATCAAGAATTTCTTATTTATTTGCATGCCTTGTTTTGTCTGGAGAGCCAACTTGTTTTAAGTGCCAAAAATGATAATGACAAGAGACTGGTAATGGACTACTATTTTCTTGCTGAAAATCTATTCTTAAGTCAGCTTCTGAGGAGAATCATTCCTCTTATAGGGAGGAGGGGATAGTTTTAAGAACAGCTGCAGAAACATTTCATAAAATCTCATGGAAGCATGTATAAAGCATGGTTGAAACAAACAGATTACTTCATAAACTGGGATTGGGTATAGACACATCAAACCTCAAGAATCCTAAAGATGTAAATCAAGGCCAAAATTAGGAAATATTTATGCTGCTTAGCTTGAGATTTGACCCAATAAGTTTTAGTTTCTAAAACAAAGAAATCACCAGGAAAAACATTCTGGAAACAAGCATTATACATCTTGAAGTTACCATTTCTGTCTTTCAGGAAAAGCAGGAGCGTGTAATGCAGAATTGTCTTGCTTTTGATATATCCTGATTTTGTATGCTGATACATGCAGATGTTATTCAGAGGTTAATACTACTGTTGTAAATGTCTACAGCTATGGACATTTATAAGTAATATACTTGATAAGAATCTCAAAAGCACATTTACCTCTCATAAGTAGATATTCTTAGGTGGGTGCAGACTTACTAGTATTACTTTTGATATTACTTGACATGAATGCCCACAAAAGTAATATCAGGACTGAGAGTGATTCTGTATACAGATTTGTGAAAAAGTATTTGCTGTATTTCAGATTTTCTGAATTTTTTCACTGAATGTTTTCAGATTTTTATGTGGATCTTAATGATACATTAACTCCAATATAGGCTGATTTCACAAATGATGACAAATCATAATTTGTTTTTTTTATTTAATCTTAGCAAACATATACTAGTTTACATAATATGTGTCTGTAAAATGGGACACACAGATTTCTACATATATTATTAAATATGTAGATAAATCTTGAAAAGTATAAAACTACTAAGGCTGAATACTGAATTGTATTTGATTTGCAAAGCACAGAAGATGGTATTTTTCACTTAATTTCTTAAAAATTGAATAAAAATGTGAATTAAAAAAGAGCTGTACATTAGAATCTCTGTGAAGAGAAGAAAATGTATGTTTTCTCTAGTTTCTTCTAGTAGTGAATCTTTTACAATTTATTTTATGTGATTGGGTTATGCACAAAATTAATCATGGCTTATAATACCATCTTTCATATTGTCTTAGTCTAGTTCTCATCTATGTAGGCTTATATCCAGGTAATTAACTAATAATATCACAATGTTAACCTAAAGATTATATATATCCTAAAGGTTTCAAACCATCAAACCTTTGTGGCCACTAACATGAGGTTTATTTAAATGCTAGATTGATATATAATCAGCTTTTGGGTGTGCAATTTAATAGCAGATTGATAATGAGTTGAAGATCAGTCTAGCAGGAGTAGATAGTAAAAGTCATGCAGACCATGAATCTACTCTATACCAAAGTTTAAACAACAAAATTTGATGTATAGAGCCAGCATCCCTAACATTATTGTCTTCTTTCATATAAATGTCTTATACATGTACATGTTGAATAAGTCCGTTCACTTGCATTGTAGGCCTTGGACATGTCAAGTTGTATTTTCTGACCTTGACTTCACTTGATCAGTAGTATAATTAACCTTGTATTACTGAGAGAGCCTAACAAATTTTCACACAAAGGAGGCACCAAAATGTTACATTCTGATAGTTACCTAGCTGAAGTGAAAGTATACATTTTATTGGTTATATAACTGAAAATACATTAATATTGGTTTCCATATATGGTTTTAAAATAATCCAAATAAAGAGAGGAATTATATACATAAAGAAAGACTGTCTTCTGTCACCATTGATAGCCAAATCATGAACTGGCCCAGCCAAATGCTGATTTTGTTTTTCCCTGGTTCAAAGTAGCCAATTATTACACAAGACAGGCAATTGCAACCTGCTTATTCTGTAATCAAGAGTCCCTAATATACAGATTGGCATATCTTTTATACACTTTTGGAAAGCAAAGGCATATGATCACTAGCCAGCTATAGGCAACAAGCAACAATTCACACCCCCTAGAGGAGAACCCTCCCAGAAGGTAGGTTCATTACCAAAATGTTACAGCCCTTGCCCTTCTGACCCTCATCTGTAAGGCTGATAAGTAAGTATAGAAAACATTCTAGCTAAATTATCTGCAACTGGAAAAAGAAATTAACCCTGAATCAGCATCTGGCCTGGTTTGAGTTCCTTGATTAGGCTATCAGGTAGCCTTCCTAAAAATGTTAGGGCAAGGATGTGAGCCCCAGGAATGAGAGGCCTGAAGGGAAAATATTTAAAAACAATTTTTTTTCAACAAAACGGTTGTCTGCCTACCACAGTATGATTTAGTCTGCAGCTAGACATTGACTGGTTATTTAAAAAGTGAAGATGCCCTGCTGGTAGCCACATGAAAATAATTCTGTATTGATTTTGGCAACAACTCTGAAGGTGATTTACCAGTGCCTTTTTCTAGAATGTTTTTCACCTTTTCAGTATATCTTACAACTCTGGTATTTCCTGATGGCTTCTAACCAAGGATTATTTTTAATTGCTGTGTAGAAAGCAGACTTTTGTGAAGTCTATCCAATAAAGAGCACAAATGCTCTTTTGTCTTGGCTGTGTTTCTTTTCTTTATCCTATTTTCTATTAGTTCTTTAGTATGTAACTATTCTTGCATTCTGGACCCTTTAGGACACTTTTCTTTCATCTAAAACCTAGGCCACACATTGAACTAAATGATAATTTGTTGAATTACGTATTGTTGGATGTCTGCATTTTGCACCATAAACCATGTTTTACAAAAAAAAAATTTTATAATACAAGTTTTATTAGTTTTTCTTTTTACAACCAAATGCTTGAGAAACAACGTGGTGACAGGGTAATCAATTATGCCAAAACAAAATCATACATATGTAATTCAAATTAAATCATTACAAACTCCCTCTCTGTTCCCTCAAATATTATATTATATTCAAATTAATATATATTTCAATATAATTCAATCTATCCAAACAATCATCAATAACATTTCATTTATATAGATCAAAATCCTGTATTAAGCTTTACAATTTACAATTACCATATTCCCATTTAGCTTAAATAACCATATTATTAACACTTCAGGTGTCTTTCCTTTCCCTTTTCCTTGACATAATCAGTAACTCATTTATTAATTTCATTTCTTCTTTTATCAAAAATCCCTCTTATTCCCCTTGCTTTACAAAATAGCTTTCCTTCCTAGAAAACAAAAATATTACTCCAAACAATACATTTCTAATCTATTTTAAATCTATAATCTATCAATTGATCAAAATCTATATAATACTCTTTTAACCCATTCAATAACATTTAAATCCAATCCAAATTATTATTATATCTCCCATGCACATATTAGTACAAAAGCAAACATCTTTTCGCTAACTTCACATTTAATTAGTCTTTCTTCAATCAGGACCGCTGGTATCTTATTTGCCAATTTTAAACTTTACGTCAATCCGTGTCTAAAAAGCCTTTAACCCATTATGTACCATTTTAGATCACACTCTTAAATCTTATTCTAGCTTTCTTTTTGTGCCAAGCCGGTTTTCATAACAAAGCCTCTATGTCAACGAATAAGTCTCTTTTTATTCCTTGTGGTAGCATTTGAATCAGGGAAGAGTGTCCCCTCTTCTGTTTTAGAGACCTGTGTCCTTTGTAGGTAGTCCC